AGAGAGAGAGAGAGAGAGAGAGAGAGAGAGAGAGAGAGAGAGAGAGAAAACAGCTGTGAGCTTGTGTGAGAGTGGGCCAAGGTAAAGTGGGCTCTGGTGACGCGTAAAATGAGCTGGGATTTGGGGAATTGAAGTTCAGTCTTAGTGTGAAATTAAGTTTTCCCCCTTCATTAATCACTTTAATATCAAACCCCAAGGAATTGACATACATATATGAAAACACATGTGATATTATGTCATTCACATATTATGATGAGTGACCAACAAAGAAAAAGGTGCTTTTATGCAGGTATTCAGCCATCTGCTTCTGCATATCTTTTGGAGCGACTGTGTACTTACTGGATAATTTATTGAGTTTTCTATGCATGTGGGTGGGTGCCCGTGTGCATAGTATGCAGGCTTGCACATGTCTCTGTTTCTGTGTGCTAAAGTGCAGCCTGGATATGGCGATGGTAGCCTCTGATTGTTGTCCTAGAGTCAGAGCACCGTGCAGGAGAGAGATTAGCAGCATCAGCTCGTTCATGTGATGCGGCACAGCAGAGGGGTGAGGGGGGGGGGGAGAGAGACGGATTGAGTTACCACAGACCATACAATATGTGTCACCACTGCTTGTCTTCAACACAGTTGAAAGGACTTTTTGCAATGGACACATGCAGCATTAGCAGCCTGATATATGTCTTTCAAGGCGAAAAGTAAAATTTGTGACTGGGCTGTAGTTTCATACATCGGCAGACAGTTATTTTGGCTTAGAAGCACCGTATGGTGCTCAAGTGACAACGACTGGCTGCAGGGCAGCTTTAAAGAGTGACTGTATACTGTACAACACACTGAGCCTCACCCTCCTAAGCTGTCAGTCATTTAGCGCGGTTGAATACACTATTGCTAACTAACTGAAAAAGAATAAAACAATCATCCATCTAACAGTGAACAGTAAGGTTTCAGCTGGAGACTGCCCCAACCAGTCTTTTCGCCTGTATTTGCAATGCGAAATTGACTCCAATACAGAGGATGTATACAATGGAGGTGAATGGAATGGAGTTTGTGGTGCTCATGGTGTGAAAAAACAATGTTTAAAAAAAATCAGCAGTGCCTCTTTCCAATGTGTTTTTTTTTTTTTAGAAAGACACATTGCTGTTGAGTTTGTAATGTGTCCATTAATGCATTTTTCTGTGACCAGCACCAATAAAAGTCTTTTCACCATTGCATAGAGGTGGCAGCAGAAATATCAGAGGTGGACATTTCAAGGCCTAGGCAAATTTAACCCAAATTTTCTGCAAGAGGAAAAAATGTTTTCTGTAATTCGTAGGACCGATCCTTATATGAACAATTTACAACCCCATATTGTAGCAGCTAAGCCGGCTGGTAAAATGTTTTGAAACCACTGTTAAAATATGGAACCACTTCATTGTTAGTTGTGTAATTTGAGCTGAAGCCCACATATTATAGGTGAGCACTGCAGAATTCTCCCTGGTGAAATGAGTACATGCGAATGGTAAATCAGGCCACTATCCAGGTGCACAAACCAGCAAATAGAACAATCCTCAGGGAAAAGGGAAAAGAACATTATTTTGTGCTCGACAGCAGAGTCAGGCCAAAACATACAATTCCTGGAAGATGGTGTCACTGCTCAGCAGGAGATGAGCAGCTAGAAGACATGAACAGTTACTCCAGCCCAGTGTTACATCCCAATACAAGCCACCTCCTCCAAAGCAGAAACGTCCCAAGACTTGTGTGGTACTTCTCAGGTGACAAGGACTAAATGTAATAAATTAAAATAATTTACATAAAGCAACTCTATATGTTGTAGGTTTATATATTAGAATAATATTTGACCTTAAGTTGCCATGAAGCCCGTTGAAGAAGCTTTCCTGTCCCCTCTCCTGGGAAATGGTGGTTCTGGATGTATGTCAGTTGGCTTTCCTGTGATGTTGATGTGATGTGAAGAGGCTAGCTTCAGGCTAATTAGGCCTGGTTTGCTCTGGCCTGCCTGACTGAACATAGCGCTGCAGACAGCCTGTGGTCATCTCGACCCTCTTCGCCTCTCACAGACCACACAAACGTGATTGCAAACACAAACACTTCGGCTCAGGGCATGGGAACTCGTTGCTTTCCTTATGCCTCGGTGAAGTGTGTAAAATCTGTCAGTTCTGGGCCAGTTTCATGGAAAAGGATTTAGTGGAGCTGCAGACAAAAATATACTGATTTTAAAAGAAAAGACTTAAGAACTGTGTTTAGGGAGGATTTTTAGCAATGTAGTCAGCCATTCATTTATATAATTAGCAAAGGAAGTGGGTGCAGAGAAGAAGATGGATGAAAGAGGAAAGCAGGAGATATACCAACTCCAATAGAGAAGCTGCAGGGATCAAGTAAAGGGAGAATGGACAAGGAGAAAATTGGTGAAGAGACCAGTCAAGCCAGTTCAGGTTTGAGCCGCCGCTGACCTGTCAGCTTTAACAACCCACCACTACCAGCCAGGAACCAGGATTGGCTTTAAACCTGGATTTTCTGTTCCTCCAACACACAGCAGTTATCAGTCATCAGTGGGATTATCGCTCTGATTTTCATACGGTTATGGTCGCTGTAATTCGGCTTCTGAGTCATCAGCCCGTCACTTTGATTGGCTACAGAATATGTTACTCGAGGCTGCAATTAATAAGCAGTGCTGTTGGGTGAGGGACACAAGTTTATTTGAGAAAATGTGAAACTTGTGATTGTGGGGTCGTTGTCACGCAGAACAGTTCTGAAGAGAAATAATTGTATCTAACAGGACGTTATGGTAACACGTATTGAGGTGCGTCTTCCCATTGTAGGATTTATTTAATTATTTTCATTCTTTCTTCCCTTCCCTCTCTGTGTCTGATCCAATCTCAGACATATGCGAAACAGAAGCACATTTGGACGGCTGCACCGGAGCTTTTGAAGACGATCTTGATACTCCAAACTGTGGCATGCAAATGAAATTGGCAGCAAAGGCACCACTTCGGCAGCATTTCAAAGGCACACAGACGGTTCAGTGTTATGGTTGTGAACATAGTGTTGATTCTATTATATGGAGATAAAGATGAAACAGTGAGTGTTTCCCCTGATGAATTTGATTTTATTCAAGCATTCCCTGGCTTCTTAATGTCAGTAGCTCTTCGCTGTCCCTGCTGCTCGTTGCTCCACCTGTCTTTAATAACCCCAGACTCCATTATGATTATGATGAATCAAACCCTCTTCTCTTTAATCACTCCAATTGCTATCAAAAATCCCTTCCACTTAAGCTCTTATTTTAAATCCATATTAAACCAAATGATTCCCTTCTGCCCACCTGCAGCTGTTTAAATTTGTACAGCATTTCACACCGCTCTCTGACCTCCCACTTCAGTATTACTTTCCTGTGCTCTCTCTGTTCATCCATTATCCTATTTCTCTACTTTCTACCTTCACTTTTCACCCTTCACATCCATCCACCTTCCCTTTCTTCCACATCCTACCTGTCTTTGCATCTCTTGAATCTCTTTGCACCGACACAGTGTTTGCTCTCCCTATCTTTTCTCTCTCTTTTTGTCTCCCTTTATCGGTCTTTTCCCCTTCTCATGTGTTTGTCTCTGTTTGGTTGCGTCTTTGCCTTGGGATGGAGGCAATCAAGCAATGTGGCCATAATTCTAACAAGATAACAATCAATGTTCACATTCAGTGTCCTCTCTCGATGTCCTTTTTTCGTATTCGATTCACCCTCGAGTTCACCCTTATCAAATGTTTTGGTACGAAGCAGTAAAAATATTCCTCTCTGTTTGGTGATGTCCTGCAGTTTTTCAGATGATTGCCTAAATCTAAAAGCTGCCGCCTCAGTGTCTGATGTTGTCCCTATTTCTCCTCCTACCGTGATCCCTCTCCCCTCGCTCAGCTCCTTGTGTGTTGCTGTACAGGAGCAGCTGAGAGCATGCGTCTAAGCAGGTTGGCATAACATTAGAGGGGGCATGCTATTTGATATGGCGGTAATCTGCTGTTAAATCCCCCAAGAGTGAAACACAGTCGCCTACAGCTTTGCAGAGATTTCAAAAATGGTTTTCTTTTCTTCTTACTCTTTTTTTCTGTAGTGGTATACCTCCTCACTTAGATCAGCTCTGCATATATGTGTGTGTGTGGCATGCATTGGTGTGGAATTAGCAAGACTTAATGTCACTGTCCCCGGTTATGGTGCCGGTTAAGTTAAGCACCCTAGAATTGCAGAATAATGTGATTTAGTGTGGGGCAGATACAGAGGGCAGTGGCGTGTCATCGATGCTTTGTGTGTGGCTGGTAAAAGTGGAAGGTGGCTGATAATTCTCTTGGCTGAGCTGATTGGTTTTGTTTCTATGTAGATCAGTTTGGAGAAGCAAGTCCTTCTAATATTCCACTTTTGAACCACTGATTTCTTTGTAGCGTTTCTTATGTTGTAATTTTAGCACTGCTACTTTTGGTTACTCTATATACACAACACCTATTACATGTCTTTTCATCCTGGAACAGGAATCCCTTCTAGTATGTAGTGCTTCTTAACAATTCTTTCATTTCTTTCCTGTTAAACTCTTTTTTTTGTGAAGTTTTCCTTATCGAAGATCGACTGTAGATTGTGTCAGATGCTGTAAACAGCCTACTAAGGCCAACTTATGATTTTAGTTTGTATAAATAAACTGCTTTTTTTAGCTTCTGCATTTCCAAAAAATGACCCAAATACAATAATGCTTCCATAAGTATGTTTAAAAGACTAAATTGTTGATATTATCTTGATCTATTTTTGTCCATTACCTTGCTTTGCCTGAGAAATATTACTGTAGGTAGGACTATGTCCATGCTATAAACTATAATCTATTGATTGCAAAGTTAAATTATTAAAACACATTGTTTACATTTAACAGTTTATTTAACTGTCGCAGCAATTGTAACCTGAACATGAACGTGTGGTTTTCTTTCAGAAATACAAGGAGTTTGAGCGGGCCGTGCGAGTGCAGGAGATTGACGGGCTGCGTCTGGTGAAGAGGCTGGCAGAGGACATGGAGGAGATGTTTCACAAGAAAGCCCAGGCAATGAAGGTACTCGTTGCTTCCAGATTGTTCATCCATCACACGAAACCTAAACCTTGCTTAGAATTAAGCAAAACATTTTAAATACAAACCAACTACTATAAAAGCACAAGGAAATATGAAGATTTTATTTTATTTAGAATATATTTCTAATATTTCACAGACACTGCAGAACATAGCACATAACAATAACTGTGTAATCACAAAAATAGAAGTAACAATAGACTCAGTTGCATTGGCGGAGTTGCGGAGCTCAGTGAAATCACTTGCTGACCCTATTTGATGTCTGAAGAAGTGCTGTAGTGTCACATTGCTTGAGTGGAACCAGACGCATATTGCATTTTCTGTGTGTATGTGTGAGAGAGATATGTGAAAGACCGGGTGCTGTGGGTGGGGTGACAGACAGAGAGAGACTGTGAGCCACTGTCACTTTATTGATCCGCTCAGACCAACCATCAGTATCTAAGAGGCCACTTTAAGACAAAGCTCGAAACTGAAACTAAAATTGTGTAGTTTTGATTTTTGTACGTCTTTATCCCTTGTTTTGTTCAATGTGTGTGTATGTGGACTGGATAGACTGTAGTGTTAGTATTCTCTGGTGACCAAATACTGTGCTTAAGTAAGTTCTAGGTACTTAATACTTTAGCAAAGGATTGTATTTTTTACTCTCGAGCATTTATTTGACAGTTAATGGTTACCTTGCAGATTGAGACATATTATCTACTCATTAAATACGCATTTTATATTAAATTTAAGTATTATTAAGTAGAATTAAAATACTAAATTATGGTGCATCAGACATAATAATAATCCAATAATTATATGATCAAATAACCCCTGAAAGAGAGCATTCTGCATAATGAGTACTCTTACGTTTTTAAACAAATTCTGTTGATAGTCCTTTTTGGAATGCCTTACTTTCACTCATTTTAGTGTATTTGTTATTGTGGAATTTTCTTAGATGAAAGATCTGAACACTTTATTCACAACTTTTGTCACATGTATACATGTGTTGTATGAACACAATTGTGTGTGAGCATGTCTGGATATGTGTGATCTTGTCAATGTTGTAATAGGTGCAGTTCAGGATGTGTCCACGGTGCACTGCCTCTCTAGCTCCAGGTGATAGATGTTATCAGGACAACATGGTGCTGTTAACACAAATTGGATTTCCCTCTGAGAGTCTGGTCCAAGGATACAAGCTGAAAGGAAAGCGAGGGAGGAGAGAGAGGGACACAGATAGTGACAAACCATTTCCTTGCTTTAGCTTTGCTTATGCCTGTTATTATTCGTCCGGTGCCTTTGCCCACTTGGATTGCATGACCATGTTTCACTCCCTTTGACAGCATTCACATTTCCACCAGTCCACATGCACAGCTGTTGTCACCAAGCAGAGAAGCTGAAGTATTTCATGCTAATATGAGTCATCTGGCATTTCAAAAATATGACTCCTACTCTTATACAGTGATTGCTGGCATGAATGCAAGATTCTAATTGAATATTGTTACTGGTTATGTATTAACTCCTGTAATAGAAAATGGAGCACTTAATCAGTTTTGTAATAATAATGATCATTTGTTTGGGAATTCAAGCATCGCCTTTTGCTGTCCAAACCAGGATTAACTGTATTTCATTTACGTTAGTCATTTTTACATTACAGAGAGATATATGTCTTGTCAACCTGTTGCAACTGTCCGATAAACTTTGAGTCTGTGCTGTGAGATTAGATCTGTTGAATCTGAAAACATAGTGTGTGTGCCATCTTCTCAAGAGTGTGTTAAGTCCCTGGAGGTAAGAGGACTCGGTTGGCTAATGGCTTCTCTAAAGCCGCCTGGCCGCGTGCTGGATGCCTGATAATTGTACATCTCAGTGGGGTTATTTGTGCCGGTGTGTGTTCATATGTGTGTGGAGTAAAAGTTAGGGGGGTTGATGAGACGGAATACCGGTCAGATGTTGATGGAATTGCACTCTAGCAAAGACAGATGAAAGCCGAGGGAGGAACAGGAAGAATAACTGTTATGTGGAAGAAAATTGAAGAAAGTGGAGTGAAGAAAAGGGCTGCATGCACACGGAAGAGGATTTAACCCCTCCTCTGCTGCTATCGTGATTGCACTTCACCTCCACCTTTCTCATTTTCAACGCTAACAGTTGGCCTTGTGATGGATTGTTAGTCGCAAACATACAATGGAAGTGTCCATGAGTCCTTTTCCCTCTTTTTCTTCATCTTTCTCCAATTTCCCTCTGCTTTTATTACCCAAACTCTCATCTGTCTGGCCTAGTGAGCAGTCTCACTGCTGCCTTAAGCATCCCTCGCTCCTTTGTCTGTCTCCCCCCCTCTCTACTCCGCCTCTTCCCATCTCTCTGCTTTTTGCTAAAGTATATGTGGTGCTTCAGCGATTCAATTTCCGTGCAGGCGCTCTCCTCCTGTCCGTCAACGTGGCTTTATCTTCCCATCTCCACGTCGATTCACCCTTTTTATCGCACACCACCACCTGCTGAGAGACAGCAGCCTCTGCTGCTGTAAAAGGGTTCACCTGTACATACGTGTACTAGTTGATGTCATTCTTTTCAAGTGTGTTGGGTTGAGAGTCGTTCTGTGCTTTCATTCTTGTGCCTTAAGATAATGGCTTTAATTTGGAAAGAGGGAGATGGTATAGTAGAGAAATATGTTTATAAGTTAAATTGATGTAGGTTTTGTGTGTGATATTGTGCGTATGTGTGTGTGTGAGAGAGAGTGACAGAATGTATCCATTTAGAATTGGTCTTTGATTGTCTTCATGTCTCTTTCCTCTCTCCCTTATCATCTCCACATGCTTGTTGCAAACGCAGACTGCTGAAAATAAAACTTTGGGCGAGAGCAGTTGTGTGTTTAGGTTGCTTCAGCCAATTGAATTGCAGCTCCATTATTATAGATAAAATGGCCAATGAAACTATGTTTCAAAGTAAAGATTTGCTTGTGAAGGGTGTTGTGTGTGTGTGTCCTTGTTTGTAACTTTGACAGGAATGTATGTTTATCCTGGCCTCAGCTGCATCTCAGCTTGCCATTGTTTAATTACTATTACCTTCATCAGTTCCTGAGTTGTTCTCCTCTCCTCTCCTCTCCTCTCCTCAAAATGGTGGCAACAATAGACGTTTAAATAAAAAGTGAACATGTTGTTATCAAAGTTGAAAGGCGTGGAGCTATTGTAATGCCCTCTTTGAAGTCAAGCACGGCTGTGTTTAAATGCACTTCAAAGCAGAGTAGATGCCTCGCTGCCAGGGCTGTTTCTCCTGTAATGGCATTCGGCCTCTGCACGCTTTGTACCTGCTGATATCATTTACCTGTGGCAGCTACGCCTCTGTAGTCCTCAACATGATTACCAGTGTAGTGCAGGCTGCATGTGTATACTTTAAAAATAAAAGGTGCACACAGGACTTTAAATGGCATCCCCTGCCAGCAAAACCTCCTTTGAAATTGAATTTTTACTTGCTGACATGTACGGGGAATTTTGAACACAAAGCATTTCAACAATGTGGCACTACTCGTCCGTTGCAGCAGATGATTTGAATTTGGATGGTTCCTCTTAACATTGCAATTTAATTACTGAACACATTGCTAAAAAGAAGTCAGACAGAGCATGCAGCATCAGTGAAGAGACAATGAAGATTAATGGCAAAACCCAAACTGTTGTATATTATCAATATATATATGAGACTGACATGGTATATGAGAGCTAAACTTGCTTATCCAGGAATTTCCCATCATGTGTGGCGTACTGTAGAGTATAGTTCTGATAAGGATTTTAAATGGCTCTGCTGCCTTGGCCTGCCCTTTCCTTCTGTCTGCCTTCCTCCCTGACATTCCACACTGTAACGCTGAGCTGACAGCACTGCTCCCCTCATTTCCCTAATTGTATTAGCTGTCCTCAGTCTCAGATCATTGCCATGTCTCTGTGCGTGTTCGTCTGTCTGTGTGAGTGTCTGTTAAGAGTGATGGCTTCTAATGACAAGGCAGAGCCAGCCAGTAGACGTCAGGACAGCGATCTCCTCCTCTCCGGTTGTTTTTCTGTCACTAAGAAGTCACAGTGAGAGAGATGTTGTTTTCTAATGAAATGGGGATGTAGACAGGATGGATGGGAAAGGTAAATTTAAAGAAGAGTCAAAAGTTCAGTCAAGCAGGCATGTATACATACAGTGTATAGTGCATGTATGTACATAATGACATTGGGTATGGCTTAATTGTTTATCGTCATATTTTCTCTCTGCTCCTCTAGGTGAGTGTACAGTTTTGTTTAGTGTGTGTGTTTGTGTGTGTGTGTGTGTGTGTGTGTGTGTGTGTGTGTGTGTGTGTGTGTGTGTATATATATATATATATATATATACACACACACATATATATTCTTAAATGAAAACATTCAAGGTGAAAAAGAAAACGTTCAGTCTAGGCATAAAATGAAAGTGTGAAGAACGAGTAAATGTGAGACAGAGGAGAATGGGATGGCAGGGCGCTGGTTCAGGCCCTTCATTTTCCCTTTGTATTCCCTGTCAGTCAGCAGAACTGTTGAGAACTTGTCAAGTATTGATTATTGGGACTTGGTGTTTCAAACCACACACTACTACCCTCCCTCTCTCTGTCTTTCCCTTTGTGCCTGTCTGTCCACCATGATCCGTGTACTTGGCTGCTACCCAATGTAAATGTGCAAAACAGAGGAAGCAAAGTGTCACAGAGCACTTTTCCATTTTGTTGATGCTGCAACTCTTCCCTGGCTGCTTTGACAATATTAATTGCTGTCCCCAGTGCTATTGATGGGCTGACCCGAGCCAATCCCACTCAGCCCAGCTCAGGTCTCAACGGATCAGACCTCTGGCAGAACACAGGACATGCACTGATCCAGTAGTCCAAGGCTTAGTTAGCATTTCCTCTCACAACCTAGGAACAGCTATACATCTTACCAAGCAGAAGCATGCCAAATTATTCAAGTGCATCAGCTTAGCACATGTTTATATAAGGTCGCACATAGCTATTTTTG